TCTGAGAAGTTATTTTTCTTATTTATAACTTGGAATACTTCCTTATACGTTCTACTATCTTAATAACAAATCGGAGCTTTGGGTGTTCAAACGCGAGATGGCGCTAATCAAAAATTTTTAATAAGTTTAAATATTATAGAATAATTTATTGAAAATATATATTTCATTAACAATTAAGGAAAGAATTAAAAAAAAAGACATTTAATTAATTACAATTTAAAAGTTATTTAAATAAAAATATATGATATAAAAATGAATAATAAAGAAATATTTGCTTATACATGTATGTATCTTTAATTTATATATAATAAAATATATACAAATATATATAAAACTGCAATTTATAGAAAAATATTCTGTGTATGTACAAAATATATAAATATATCTTCCTAAACCGAGTTATAAAAACATAAATATAATATAATTTTTGTCAAGATTTTTAATCAATAGCTAGGCAAAAAAGATAATAAAATTAATCAAATATTAAACTCATCTTATGAACGCATAAATACAAACAGTAATATATAGATAAATAATAAAAATAGAAATTAAAATAGAAGTTAAAAATTGAAGAATCATAATCTTTATACAGTTTGTATTTTTATATTTTCTGTATTTTTATATTTGTTTATGCGTCATCATTATAAGCATTTATTCTTATATATATATGTATATGAATATATTGTGTTTCTTTATCAATAAAAATAATTAATCTCATAATCACAATATCAAATACTTATACATGTTTTTTCATGTGATAAATATATTTATATATATTTTGACATATCTTGTATAAAATATTGTTTATGCTTTAGATACAATGATTATTACTGTCTATATATTGTAGTAAAGCAAAGATAATCACGCGGTGACAAAGAGATAGCCATTCTTTTTTAAATGTAATCTATGTCTTATCGTTTAGTAAAAAAAAAAATAAAATGTTTATAAAAATTCAGGTGCATATAAATTCAAAGCTTATTAGTTAATGATTTGTGACTATTAATGTGTATATATGAAACAACTAATGTTCGCGAAAGAATTTGATGATCCAATTCGACAGAGAATAAAAAATGTCGAACTTACAGTATAAAATATGTCAATATGTCAATACAAGTAATATAGGAATATTTTAGGGATATAGGTAAGTTTTATAAATAATTATTAAAATATTAATACAGTTAAGTATAATTCTAAATAAAAAGTAAAATTGTATATGAATTTTGTTTCTTAGATACAAAATTTTTATGTGACACAATGTTTTTTCATTAAAAGGATTTATCAAATAAATTTTTCCATATTATCATTAGGATTTTATTATTTATATTAATATAATTTATAAATTTATAACATTTTGACATAATTTTGATATTTGTAATTTATAAAATAATGAAAATATTTATTTTACAGATTTATATTATATTAGCACAAAATGTAATGTTAAAAGTAATATTCTTATATTATTTTTACAATGGGAAAAGTTATACCAATGAGCTGGTTGAACCAGATATTGTTGGTTTTAAGTATATTATGTGCATTGTTATCTTTAATTATACAAGAATGGGCAGGTCTCACACCATTACCAATATATGTTTCTATCTTATGGGCTATTTTTATTATAATATTATCAGTATGGCTCAGTTGTTTTTTATTTCAACTTGCATTAAAAGCTAATAGTCCACTTAATATAAAATTTCTTAATAATTGGCTATATGAAAAGTTTATAAATAATTTGAAATTATATGAATATAAAAAAGAAAATGAATGTAAAAATAAATCTGAAAATGAAGTAAAGATAAATAAAAATATAAATTCTATACAAATACCTCATAAAAAACAGAAAGAAAAAATGATCGCTATATCTAATGAAAAGGAAACGAGCAATAAAAAAAAGAAGAGAACAGTAGAAATACATAATTTAGTAAAGGAAATAAATTTAAAATGCATTAAAGTTTGGTATAAATCTATCAGTGATGACAAATCATTTCCTAATGAAGCACAAGAACTATTAAAAAAATTATTGACCAAACTATTTCATAAAATCAGTTTAATTGACAAAATAAAACTTACTCATAAGCTGTCTAATGTGTTCTTATTACATTTAAAAGAATATCACAGGTAATATATAATTTCATATATAATAATATTTATAAAGTAAATTATTATTTAACCTAATGATTGAATTATATTATAGAGCATTACGAAGAGTAGAAAAAGGAACTGCACCAAATTTAGAGGAAGCATTTAAATATTTGCATCCTGGTTCTCGTAATGTAGCAGTATTAGAGCATATGCTTCATCGAATGGTTACTATTTTAGCACAAGAATTTTTACAGTGGGAATTAACAAGTTCATTGCCATGTAAACTTTTATTATCTATCTTAGCAAAAAGATTATTAATAGTTATTGAAACAATAAGTTCTCCACATTGGCTATTTCAAAATTTGTCAGATTTATTACAACCAATGGCAAAAGAAGTTGTCAAAATTCAAAATAAACAGGAAAAAAATGTATATTCACAATTCACTAAAGTATGTTCATAATTTCAAAATGTTTGCTTTTTTGTTTATTTTTTTACCATTATTTTCAATTAATGAAATGATTATTTCAGAAAGCTATATCTAATGCTCTAGGAGATGGTATAACATCTGCAACAGCAGCTCTAATTCCACGATCACTACCAAAATCAAAATCTGAGTCATCTAATGAAGCTTTAATTGAGCATAAAAATACCTCATTATCTATAAATGATAGGAGACCTACATTACGTTTACATAATTTAGCTACAGAACATAGAGGTCTATGGGGTCAGAGTATGGTAGAGGTAGATTCTGAAATAGAAGAAGATAAAATATCTCCTGTATATGAAGAACCTACAGATTTTGCTACAACAATTGCTAGACTTAGAACTGTATTACAACAAAAATCAACTGTGAATACACCTTTGTGAGTAGTAATAATTTTTAAATTTTTATAAAAAAAAATCAAATATATATTATATTTTTTAGACATGTTGAAGAAAAGTCTTATGTAGTATATGAAGGTAGTCAATTTACAAATTTATCCATTCCATGGACAGAGTTTCATACAGCTCTTGATGGTTCACAACAGTTACTTTATTGTATTCAATTTGATGATATAGAACAACGCGGGGTTGATTTATTTGAAACTACAACTGCTACTGTTAGAAGACAATATCGTGATTTTGCTCAGTTACATACTAGTTTACAAGAGGTAATTTTAATATTCATTATACATATTTATCATTTATTGAAATATTATGTGAAATATTTTTTGATATTTTATATAATATAAATTTTACAGATTCCAGAATTAGCATCTGTTATGTCAAATTTGGTTTTACCAGAAGGCGGTCGTCTTGAATTAGAAAACTATTTGAAAACTTTAACTACACGCTTGGCTAACGAATGTCCATCACAATTACGACATTTTCTACGTCCAAGTAGTAATGCTAATAAAAAGGCGGATATAGTTGCACCACGATTTGATAAATTTTTGGTTAAGACAGTAAGTGGAGTTTTTAATACCTTAAAAACAGTTGTTCCAGGTTTTGAAATTGAACAAGAAGAAGAAAATGTACCCTTACCTACATTAATGCCTTTAGCTGATATTCCATGGAGATTTGTCGAGGATATTAAATCGGTAAATAAATTTAATATTAAATAGATTATGTGTATTTAATTAAATTTATATTTCATAAATTTTATAAATAATTTAATTTTATATAAAAATTTCATCTGATTTTAATAGAAAAGTTTAGCAACAGAATTTCAAAAGTTAATAACTGAAAGAACCGAATACTCCTGTGTGGATTCTGCTTACGAAGCTGTTGATTCAATGGAAAGTACTAATGATTCTGCATTATTAACTAATTGGTGGGAAATTGTAAAAAGTTCTTATGAAGGTAAATATTATAAAAAAATTAAGTATTTTGAAAGTTCAATTTTAAATTATCTTTATTTTTAGAGGATATTGACGAATTGGATTCACATCTAATATTAACAAGTGTTGCTGTAGATCTTATTTGTGAATTATTGACAGGAATTGGAAGTAATAATGCCTTACAACAACAAACAGTTGTTAGATGGATAAAATTACTATTTGGAAGTGTTACTGAATCTATATTACAAGTAATAATTTATATTTTTTTATTATGTTTTACTATTACAAAAAATTATTATTATGTTCAATTACGAATGTGTTTAATTTACAGGCTGTTACTTTACGAATTTCCGATCAATTGAGTAATATATCACTTCATACTGTACAAACTAAATTTTCTGAAGAACCATTAACATTAAAAGAAAGACTGTTACAAGAGCTATTAATTAAAATTCCAAATGACATAAAATTAATATTTGGTGAGGATGATACTTTAAATATTTTGAAGTATTTACTTGATTCTTATGAAATAAAAAAAATTAATATAGACTTAAATTTACAAATATTAGATGTTCTAGCATCACAGTTATTAAGTTCATGTAGATCGAATCATAGTAAAATATCTTTATAATTTCATTTTATTTTAATTCGATAAAAACAGTCAATTCAATTCCTTTTTTCAATTCTATTAAACTATAACTATAAAATTATTGAAGTTAAAAAATATTGCTAGTTAAGAATTGCTAGTTACTGAAATATATTTTAGTCAAAAGGAATTGATGTGCCATATGTACTAAATTTGTTGACTCGATATAATGTAGAATTATATAAAATTTTCCAAAACAGACTGTGTACCTGATTACATATTTATACTAAAGATGCCAAGTATTTTTTTCATTAATACAGGACTCTTATGAGTTGTATGATATACTTCATGTATATTAGGTACTATATGCATTTAAATTGTACATTTATATTTAATGTTTAAGTTTTGTACAAATATTTATGAAAAATTATTATATTTCTCAATTAATAAAAGTCTATCAATATATATCAAATGAAATTTAAATGTATATGAAATCTCAATAAGTTAATACATATTTATGAATAATAATATTTAATTTATAATTTCATTATGATTCCTTTCCTTTGTTTTGAGCCTTTTGTTTCTCTAATTGTGCTCTGAAACAAATTATTTTAAAAAATTATTTAATATGCTTTTTTAATATATATTAGTGTAAATATCTTAATATTTTGAAAAAAATTTATATCGGAGATAAATTATTTTTAATATAAACCTTTTTATTACATTGGAAATATTAATATAATAAGACGTTTAATTATTTATGCATAATTTGTTAAAAAAACATTTTTGAAAAATAATATTACAATACGAATTACCTTAATTGCTGATTAAAGTCATCTTCTACATCATCATCATCCCAGTTATCCTCCCAAACACTGATATCTTCGTTGTCTTCATCTACTGCAGTCCAATCTACAAAGTCATTCAATCAAATTGAGGTTAGAATACTACAAGAATACTTTTATTGAATTTTAATAAATATACACGATATTGAATTATTTTACCTTCTGCAGGGAATTCTTCAAATTCATCATCCTCTTCTAATAATCCTAAATCAATTTTTGATTTATCGTTTTTACTTTCTGACATCGTGAAGTGAATTAACACAGATCGCACAATAATGTTTTATGGAGTAAAATCTTATTTGAATTTTCTAGATTTTTCTTGTTACTAAAAATAAAATATTCAATATTGATAATTTTGAATTAAAAAAAGATATTTTAGATAGATTATTATAGTAAATTTCTTGTAAAATAAACAAAAACAAAGCAATATATAATATTTCTTATAATTAAATAATTAATTACATAAAATATTAATAATGCAAAAATAATGTTTTTGTATATATTGTTCCATTTTATCTTTGTATTTGATTATTATAAATATTATCTTATTTTCTTTTAATTAATTCATTCAGGATTCAAAAAAATTACTTACATATTGAAGATACATACAATAAGTTTATCTATCATGGATACATAATATTTATGACGCAAGTATAATATCTTTTTCTAAATAAATCATTTTTTTCAGATATGAATAACGTAAATTAAATTTATTGAAAATTTTTTTTAAATAAAAGTAAATTTAATTTTGAATTAAATATTTTAATATTTTATTAACTATTTATATTCAAATAATTTTTAGTGAAATAATATATGTAACAGAATTTATTTAAATTATATTATAGATATTTAAAATTAGCGCTAAAAAAATTGAATCTTTGTTAAATCACCAGATTGCGTTGATCACGCTCATTGATTATAACACGCATATGCTATTTACTGTTTTATATAGTTCAATAAAATATTATTGAAATAAATATGTGTAAAGTGTTGTACAATTAAATTATATCATACATAAAAATATTGTGTGAAATAATAATTTTTAATTTGAAAATTAAAGCTATATAATTTAATTTTTATTAATCATACGAGCTGCAAATACTTAAGATATATTCAAAATGATTAAATATGTTCGATTATTTTATCATAAAAAATGGAAATTTCCTTATATTCTTTTTTACATGACATAGTATAATTATGACGTAATAATTAAATACCTTTGATTTCATTTATCAAAAATTGACAATCGATTGGAATTTATGCCGATAAGCAAAAAGTGTACGTTTATGTCGCAGTGGGGCGACACATTAGCGTCGCAAATGGAAATAATATTACCAATCATTATCTTTTTTCCTAATCTTCCTATTTATACCGGTTGCACTCCATTCAGTTTCCTAGTGATGAAGTGATTCATAGTAGTTACTGAGTTTAGAGGAAGATAACTGTTAATCTACAATGGGCTTAGAGAATTATAAAGAACTTGTGGCATCATGTGCCTCAATTTGTACAATGGGTCAAATGTTATCTGGAACGTAAGTTGAAAAAATACGAAATATTTATTTAATTTATATGTTTTTTGAAAATATAACATTTGATTTCTATTACAAAACATATTTATAATAAAAAATATTTGAGTAATTCAATAGAAATATTATCGTCCTTTGATACTTGCATTTTTTCTTCCACGTGATAATAAATATAATATAATTGATTTCTCGCTTGTACAGTAGATCTATATCTATATTTTTTAGATCTATATATATGATATTTAATACATAAATTTGTATAATGAAATTATAGTCATAAAGTATATTCGTCACATATAACTTTATAAACCATTTAAGATTATATTTTTCATTTTATCAATTTAATTTAAAAAATGTTGCAAATAAATATAAATAAAAATATTATATATATAGATTTTATATAAAAATTTTAAATATTAAATAATAGAAAATAATAATAGAAGATTTGATTATAATTTAATTGTTTAAATTTAAATGTCACTTAATTATAGATTGATATGTAAGGATATTTATAAAAAAGGCTCATCCGAAGGTTTTGATTCCATGCCTTTTTTGGGTGGTATAGGAATGTAAGTGTAATACTTTATTTAATACAAAAAGCATAATGATGACTAAGTAATGTTAATTAATGTTATTTAAAAACATTATTCTGTTAATTATTTTAATCTGTTATATTGTATAGTAAAAATATTTAAATATATCAATATTTTTGTTCATAATTGAAGTATTTTTTTTTCTTTTGTGAAAAAATATGTTATAATTGTAATATAAAAAACCTATAGATTATCTAAGTAGAACTATAATAAATTAAAAATTTTATATAGGTGTATTTTAATGCTTCAATATGCATGGATTTTGAAAGATATTGCAATGATTAATGTTAATGTTTTTGGATTACTCACAAATATGGCATACATGGCTGTATTCTATTATTACTCACCACACACGGTACGAATTTATATTTCTCAATCAAATTGCATGATGTAGCTTCTTTCATTGTATCTTCTTGTGTCTTTTTTTATTTTTTATGTTTAAAATCTTTAATTAATAATTTGTTGTTATGTATAATAGATGAAATTAGATATTTAAGTTTTAAATATAAATATGAAATCTAAATTAAAAACAAGAAGTTTCATATTTATAACGTATTTTAATTAATAACATTTCTAATTTCTTAATATTTTAATAATAAATTTAAAACAATAAATTTTTGATATTTAAATATATAATTATTAAAAAAATATAATTAAATAATAAAATCATATATATTCTATTCATCTGTAGTATAAGAAATATAATTATACATAAATATTAATTTGTATTATTATTTTAAAAATAGTATCGATATTTTTTAAATGATTCATTTTATATTTATACATTTTAATTTATCAATTTGTTTATAAATCTATGACAGAATCGATAGATATATGATTTACCACGAGATTTGTATTTTTATTAAATTTCGAATAATTATAATAAAATATATCGATAGTTTGGTAAAATTATATCTTTAGAGAAGAACGAAAGTTCCTGCTGTACGAAGAAATTTCGGACAAATATTTCTAACCACATCAGAAGCTGAATAAATATTTGATATCAAGTCTTCGCATTTTTAGAAACATATACTTGCTTTGATAGGCAAGGCAACAACTTTTGTCATGGTCTTTCTTGCATATGCACAAGTGGAAAGTCCCGAGAAGATCGAATTTAGATTCGGTTTGATTGTGACAGTGTTATTGTTGCTCTTAGTAGCATTTCCTCTCGTACATCTTGTAAGTACAAATTTTATGTATATTATTTTATAAAATAAATAAATCCAACAAATAAAAGATTTAATAAAAATATAACATTAATTTTATTAAATATAACATTAATTAAAAATGTAACATTAATTTATTGACATATAAATATTAATAAATAAATATTAAAAATGAAAATTAATAATGAATATTAAAAAATTTAAAAAATAATTACGTATTTCACAAAAATAATTTTATCAATATATATTGCTAAATAGTTAATTCTTTTTTATACAATAATCGACGAAGAATTTTGCAATCATTGCACAATAATTCTGTGTTGCGACAAGAAGTTTTAAAAAGTTATAAGCTGTGGCAAATCATGCGAAAAATGTGTAATCATAACAATAGAAATAGCGAAATGAAAATTTTAAAACGTTAGAATTGATTGTCTCTGTAAGACTAGTTATAATTATAAAATGTAAGATTTGAAATTAATATATAATTCTCAAATTTTATTCTTTCTTATTGCGTTAATTTCTGATTAATCAAAGTATTTTTCGTGATATACGTCATTGAATGTAACAATGTTTAATTCATTTTTAAACGAGCGATTATTTCTCCGTAATCTTTTAATTTAACATAGATATTTCAAATATGTTGCATTTGTATCGCATTCAAAATAATGCTTATGACTTATGATTTTAAAGAGTTGACTTATGATTTTAGAGTTAATATATACACATATAAATACAATTTATTAATATTAAAAATATCGATTAATAAATATAATATAAATTCAAATGTTAATCTTTAAAAAAATATGAAAATTTATAAAATAAAAAATTAAACAAAGATATTTTAATATATTAAAATATCATTTTTTAAAATATTATGATATTTAATATATTATATATATTTAAAATATTACCGTGAATAATATTGTTATACATTTGCATAAAACAAATAATGCAAATAAAAGTTTCGCTTGAAATATTAAATTTCAAGCTTTTTTAAATATTAATTTAAAATTAAATGATTTATGTGCAATGATATTTAATAAATTGTTTATAAAAAATGGATTTATTGGATTTATTTGAATCGTTAATTGTTAACGATAATTGTTGTTTTTTTCTTTTGTTTATCAGAGAAAAATTATAGAAACAAAAAATACGGATATTCTTCCATTTCCGATCATATTTATGGGTACTATTGTCACATTTTTATGGTTATTATATGGTCTCATAATTAATAACGTTTTTATTATCGTAAGTAAACTATCTGTTTTTTATTATTTTCAAGCAAATTATTTATTTTAAGAAATATATATTAATCGCTAATACGTTATATTTTTTTAAAGTTTCAGAATTCGGTAGCTTTTGTTTTATCTTTGGCACAAATGTCGTTATTCGTAATATACCCATCGAAATCGAAAAACAAAGAATCCACACAAAAGAAAACGGAATAAGAAAAGTGAAGTGAAATTATGTAAATATTAAAAGCGTGTAGATTTCAACAAAAATTTTATCTTCAGCTATTAAAATTTATCTACACGTATACTGATTAAAATAAGTTTTAACAATTCCAATAGTTTTATTATATAATATACATCACATTATTAGCCACGACTGTGCCTACTATTGTGCCTAGACAATTTAAAAAAAATAAATAAGATTTTTTTAAATTAAACGATATTTATATTTAATATTTATAATTAAATATTAAAGAGTATTTTTTAAATCCTGAATATTGTAAATTATATTGGTAATATTTTAGGTTTAGTTACAATATAAATATAGATTTTCATTAAATTATATTTCTACAAAAATGTATTTATAAATCGTATTAATTAAAACTTTTCAAGTTTACATTATATATATTCAAATATTGTATAAAGATAATGTATTTTTAATAGTGTATTTATAAATATTATTTTTAGTTATAAGTTTAAACTATAAAAATAAATTTACTCGTTATATATTATTTTTAATTATAAGTTTAAACTATAAAAATAAATTTACTCGTTATACGTATATATATATATTAATAATACAATTGTGGACAAGGCAAAAAAAGGGGGAGATCTCCCCTTTCAATTATTTAAGTCATACGTTATATTTAAAACAGGAAGATCTGTTCAATAGGATAACAATGGTTCAAATGATTATGAATTTTGGTAATTATCTACGTAAGTATATTGACTTGACATTATTATTTATAAAGAAATCAATTTCTTTTTAATTCAATCCTAATAAATCCTAATCATTTTTCTTTAATGTTTACCATTACTTATTTAATCGAATTTGCATAAATTTTTGTTTATAACTAATAATAACAAAATTTTAATCTAAATTTTAATAACTTTATCATTTATAAAAATTCTTCATTTCCAAGTTCTATTTCTAAATAATTTATTACATAAATATTACAACAAACAAAATTTCTATCATATAAATCTTATCTTATCTTAATGTTTCTCTAAAAAAATTATGATATTACTTCGTCAACAAATGAGCGTTCCTTTTTCAATAGAATCTATTACGCAAATTGTATACGTTTATTAATACGCGCAAAAACGATGTAATACTTGTCAATGACTGACACAATCTTCGATGAGGAGCATGTGTGCGTTCGCGTCAGGTCTACTCTATTAAGAATAACCAAAGGTGATTACCATTTTACTTTCTACACGACCACGTTACGCAGCATGCAAATGCAATTCTCCTGGCAACTGGTTTCGTCCCCTTACGATTTACGTCTACGATGGCTCGTTAGTAGTCTCTCTTGGTATCGGCTTATTATATGAGCGACGTACATCATCGCTTGACTTTCTGATCGAGTTTGCTGGTTAATAGCAGGAAATAGCAGCCTTCTATGTAGACAGTAGCATGTCTGGTATATGCCGTGGTCAGTAACGTGTTCGATTGTTCGACGGACACTGGCATTCTATGATCTCACGCGTGAAATAGAAAATAGAACTGAAATAGAAAATAATATAAAATAGAAAAAAAATTTTCTTCTTTCTTTTGTGCTGATTTGAACTTAATAAAGTAAAGTAAATATAAAAAGTAAATTATATGGTAATATTTATTTATCATTGCAATATGAAGAAGAAACGTTGGTGACGTGTGTTTTTGTATAATAAATAATAATTGTATAATTTTTTTTATGAATAATAAAAAACAGCGTTGTAAATTTTCGTATTAAATTATTTGGATTAATTCAATTTCTTTGTTTTGTCTTTGTGGCTGTTTTATCTTTGTTGCTGAAATATAAACTAAGGAATATGGGATGAGGTGAGTATGCCTCTTTCAATTTTTTTAAAAATAATTTCTTAAAAATAAATAAGTAAATAAATAAGTAATTTTTTAAAAATAAATAAAATACTAAAAATGCTAATTATATAATATCTTTTCTTAATATTCTTTGAAATGAAAATATGGAAAAAACGTTGAATTTTCATATTATAAAAATATTAATATGTTAAATAATAATGCCTAATATGAATTTATTATATTGAATTTGTTATTAAGTACATATAGGAAATTAAAAAGACATAAAATTGAAAATGCAGTATCACACGATTAACGATTAGCGAAGAAATTTTTTTGAATCCCAATAAAAAATATGTAGATTTCGATAATTTTAAATGAAATGCAAACAATTCTCTTTATTTCGAGATATCAATTATCTTTCAATTTAATTTTTCCTAGACTATGAACCTCGACGTACATTACGTGAACGCGCGACAATTCAACAGGTTAATTGATTTCGAATTAATTAACGGAAATTATAAATACAGATTCAATATAAAAAGGAAAAAGAAATGATTCCAAATTTTTGACCAATGGTGTACATCTACCATCTACGTGTCAGAATTTGAAAAATTGAATGAATAAAAGGAAAAAAAAAAAAAAATAGAAACAAAAATTTAGAAAATATTTAAGATAATTTTCACTTATAAGAAAAAACCTAACCACGAAGTTGGATCGCAAAGCCGGAAGAATCCTGCGCGCATCCATGAAATTCGTGTCTGCGCAGGATTCGTTTCGCGATTGATCCCGAGTGTGCGCGTCTCAGCTGATTGTCAGTACGTTCGTATACACAGGAAAATAGTTGGTTAACGTGAGCGTGGTTCTGTTGTGTGGAGGTAGGCTCGTTATAACACCTGCTGCATCCCCTGTGCCTCTCGTCGCGTTCGAGTCATGTCGATCAGCTGATGGTTCGTATAACAGAACACATTGTTGGCTATAGAGTTTAAAGAACGATTAGGATCGTTTCTAAACCGTACAAATTTTCGTAGTTTTCACGATTTAAGATACATTTAATACGCGGTCAAGACAAACGTATTCCAAATAATCAAGCATCGTACATACACGTGCTCTTTTTGCTCTTTTATATCAACGATACGATCGAGTTTAGTATATTTGAGTATTAATATGAAAGGAAAAAGGAGAAAATCGTTCTTTCGTTTCTTAAATTAGGCATATGCTTATTATCAAAGAAATATCGTTTAGATAAAGAATTGTATGATACCTTATATTATAAAAAAAAATGCGTTAAAAATAGTTGTACAAAAATAATGTTCTTTTATCAATTAAATATGAAAAAATTAAAACTTTTCCATTATTTAATTATCATTATACTCATATTATTTGAAATACCGATTGACAATATTATTATTTATTCGAGTTTAATTAATTAATTGATTAATTAATATTGAATGCTTGTAAAAATTGTTTCAATCATACCTCTATGTTATTAATCGAAGAGCATGTAATTTTTTAATCGGTTTCTCGAGGCGAGGTTAATAAATTATAGACGCCACGGAAAGTAGAACGTTTCCCTTTGCGTTCACATGGCAGAGGCCCATCCAGAAACGACAGCCCTCTCTCATTAGACTTAATATCAATTTAGAGCACAATACAGAGTGTATTTCGATGCCGTGTAATTTGCTTGAACGTTCGTTAAGTATACCAGGACAATTATAACCGTATCCAATAACGACGAGGACGCACGAGTCGGTCGAAATGGTTGCAACACGCGTCCTTAAGGATCGTATTAGCTTAACAAGTAAGCTAATGCTAAATTCGTGCATTTTCAAGAAAAATTAATATAAAATGGGCGAATAAGATAAGAAGACAGAGGAAAAAATAGTACGCGAATCACACGAAACGATGAAATAGAAATAGAATTAATCGAAATAATTGTTCGAGATTGTTCCGATTACACGTACGTGTCGTGTCTCGATCGAGATTCGAGAATCCTTTTAATTCGAACGGAGACAGAAGAGAAATCGTAAAAAAAAAAATAAAAATTGATCAGACAAAACTCAAGTGACGAATGTAGGCCGCTCTATATCGAAATGTTACGCGACGGAACGGTGGACAGATGTTACCCAGAGAGAGAGAGAGAGAGAGAGAGAGATCGCCTTTGGTAAACTCGCGTGTCGCGAAAACTTTCATATAACGAAAGTTTTTCCCCAAACGTTTATAACAATCCGACAATTTCGCTCTTTATCATCTTTGAAATAAAAAAACTAAAAAAGAGGGACAAAGTTTTCGCGAATTGTCCCTCCTCCTTTCCCCCTCCTTCTTCCCCCAAACGTTACGACGTTAACGTTCTAACTTTTCCAGCCGGGAAGAATTGGACGTTTCTCTCTCGAAAAAGCGGCTCGAGATTCGCCGCCCGTCTCGTGACTGGTCGACGGAACGGTAGGGGGGAAGGGAGAGCGATGGGGGTAGATGAGCGATAGACGAAGAGGGAAAAAGAGGGAGTTGCCGGCCGGCCGAACTATTCCGTGGACACCGTCCCACAGGACACGTGAATCCACGAAATGTGTAACAACGTAGCGGCATCATAACTGAGAGGAGAGAGAGAAAGAGAGAGAGAGAGAAAGAGAGAGAGAAGAAAAAACCTAGATCCACTCTCCCTTTCGTTTTCCTGCACCCACCACCCCTCACCCGTCCACCGCCACTGCATTTTCCTGCCGAGGATTCATTTTTGTGCGCGCGAGTATATAGTATCAGCCGCGTCTTTCCGCCCGCACAACTTTCAGAACGAGTGACGCAAGTGAAGTGTATGCACTGTCGATAGATCGTCCCTTGAACGAGGTGGCTATTTACCACCTCTTACCATCCGCGTTTCCGGTTCTGGCTGACCGATACCTTCCATTCTTGTATCAACGAGAGAGAGTTCACGTAAGTGACGCGTCTTTTTTTTTTTTCTTCTCTCTTTCTTGTAATATTCGCTTCTTCTTCTTCTTCTTCTTTTCTCTTTCTCTCTCTTTTTGGAGGATTTCGTTCGTTCGAAGGATCGATCGGTAAGACGATCGGTTCGGAATTATTCGTGTTATTTCAACATTCGTGTAATTTGGTGTAATCGTGTATTTGATTTATTTGGTTTCTCGCATTGTTAACTCGTTGTGCGTTTTTTTTTTTTTTTACGTCGATAAGGATCTATAATAATAATTTGTAAAATTATGCGAATTTTTTTAAAATAGACACTAGTTTCTCGAAACGCAAAATTATCTCGTTATCTCGTTATTTACTCGAGGTTAAAAGATGAAAATGTGTCGGAGCGTGTTCGTGACGTATGAAAAGAGGTAAAAAAAAAAAAAACGAGTATTCAAGACATGCATGCGTTATTACGCGAAATGCAAAAAATCGTAAATCTACAACGGAGTACGA